TTTTTTTTGGTCACCAAGGGTTATTTAACGTGCACAACTTGCACCTGGGACCTCCGAGATGTTTCGTCCCTATCCGAGAAGGCTAGGTGTAGATCTTTCCTACCAGAAGACCAGGGGTGTGGCTGAAAGACAGCAGTAAGATGGAGCCAAGGAGAAGCAGTAGAAAAGCTGCAGAAAGAGTCAGGAGCCCAGAAGAGGGGGTAAAGGAGGTGAGGGGGTGGGTGCAGAAAGAGTCAGGAGCCCTGAGGAGGGGGCAAGGGAGGTGAGGGGGTGGGAGCAGAAAGTGGAGACGAGAGCAGACGGCAGAATATTGTTTGAGAGAAGGAAAGGAGGTGAAAGGAGAAAATTTTAGGGAACAACACATTTTATGTCTATTTATCGACGCATTTTTGTTATGGATTTTATGGGAAAACGTGATATAAAAAATTTTTCCAAGTTGCAATTTCCAAGGACACAACACAAAAAAGAAAGAGGAGAGATCAGGACGACAGATGTTTGAGAGGAAAGAAGATGGCTGGACAACGTCAGTCCTGTTTACGGAAAATCCTAACTTAAACTGTTCCACCTTTTTTCAGAACCAAGACCTTCGCCTTGCCGCTCTTCAACTGTAAAAATTTTGCAGGCAGAAGCAAACGAAGCATCTTTAGAATTTCGAAGGGAAACATTCTCTTCGCAGTGGGCTTTGAAACTCAGTCACATACCTCAAAACCTAGACCAATTTTGTGTCTTTGCATGTCCCAAAGGTCTAAAAACTTTACCCTTCCTCAAACCCCATACTCCGCCCCTTCCATGGTCAGAAGCTAAAACGATCATAAAGACTGATTTTTCTGAAAATGCCATCGAAGTTTTCACCATGTCAAGTATACATCCTTGGTATTTAACTTACTTTTAGTTTTAGTAAAGGTTTTACGGCACCTGCAACACCATAAGGTCATAATATAAGTGCCGAAAACTAGAGGTGTTACAAGAGAGTAAAGTAAAGTAAAGTTATTCCCGCATCCGATCCGGACATTGGGGATTGCCTTGTTAGTGAGACAACTTCCTGGGTCTTTTGCATATTGTGGTAGGATGGCCACAAGAGAGTAACAAAAAAGGAGGAGGAGAGAAGAGGACAATGGGGGGTTTTTTATAGTAAAGAAGAAGCAAACCACACCAGAGCACCCGCCAACCACCCACTTGGCATTTAACTAAACCAAATATAGACAAGTCTTTGAAAAACACCACAAAAAACTGTACAGGCCAGCTACTTACCAAATATGACACAATCAACATAAAAATAGATATTCTCGATAAGAGTAGGCTTCGGCCGCCACCCGGGCAAAATTCCAAATTCCTACCTAACTGAACATGTTTGGTGTGTCCCGATCGTTCATATGACCTTATGCAGTTGTGAGCGGCGTAAAACACTTACCAAAACAAACATATATCCTGAAGCAGAGGAACTTTTCACAGACGGATTTAAAAAAGTACGCCTCGATAGAGCCACTTAGTTAAAGCTTATTTTTATTTTTATTTTTTTTTATTTTGGTAAGTGTTTTACGGCGTTCACAACTGCTTAAGGTCATGTGAGCATGCGGGACACATTAAACATTGTCAGTTGGTTGGACATTTTAAATTTTGCCCGCGTGGCTGCCGAAGCCTACTCTTTGGCTCCTTCTTACGGCTGTCTTTCAGCCACATCACTGATCTTCTGGTAGGAAAGATCTACACCTAGCCTTCTCAGACAAGTGCGAAAAATCTCGGAGGTCCCGTGTGCAAGTTGCGCGCGATAAAGATCCCTTGTTGGTCTTGAATCGATAAGAGTAGGCTCCGGCCGCCACCCGCTGACAAAATTCAAAATGTCCTACCAACTGAAAATGTTTAATGTGTCCCGCGCGCTCATCATATGACCTTATGCAGTTGCGAGCGCCGTAAAACACTTACAAAAAACCCACCCAAAACGAACAAACAAAAATAGCGGGAAAAAAAGAAAAAAAGAAGAGAAAAAAATTCTGCAAAGGAAACCGGATATTCAGCAGTTTAGATCTATAATATTTATGTCAAAATGACAGCGAAAGAACTCAAAACTTTCCAACTTACCTCTCTATCTAGTTTTTTCCCAAGAATTCTGACAAGATTCTAGATCTAGGAAGTGTCGCTTCAACTCCTCGAGGGGAGATATCAATTCTGCGCGGCGCTGGTTTATATCTATATCACAGCTCTTGTCGAAGGAGAAGAAAGTTAAACATATCACGACAAACCGCGCGATGTTATCAAGTTATCAATACTGTTACTTCTGTTGGGACGAGATAAATGAACGAGTGTCCGAAACGGCGCTGTGCAGTAAAAGTTACTTCCCTTCTCTGTGGCCCTCTCCCTTTCTCTCTTTCTCTCTCTGTCTCTCTCCCTCTCTTTCTCGCTCTGGCTCTCTTTCTCGCGCGCGGCGGTACGAATGTTGGGGCGAAGTGGAAGCGAGGCGGGATAAACGGCCGTAATATCTATCCGGAGACGACTCCGACGGAGATAGACCAATCAAAATGCTTTGTGCCTCTGGACCAATTAAAAAAGAATCAGGGGGGTTACAAAGGGCCAGGCCCCCCTGTTTAAACCCATATTTTGATATTTTACAGTTAGGTTTGAATTTATTTATTTTTTAAATAATTGATTTGCTATATATTTAGTGGCTGCTATAATATGTGATATCTGTAGCAAACAATACGCAGTTTGACCCCCCACAGCAGTGCATCTGTGTGCGGGAGTGCGTCTCCGAATAGTTCCTGGGTGCTCGCCGGAGACGTCTTCGAATATCTTCTGGAGGATAAACGGCTTGATTTTGTGCTGCAACCGGACGGAGTGAGGGGGCGGGGCTGGTCTTTTAGCGGGAAAATGACACGAGGA